ACAAAATAAATGTGCAAAGGGCAGTCACATTCTTACTCATCAACAACAAACAGGTAGAGAACCAAATAAAAACCACAACCCCATTCACAATTGCTGAAAACAAAAAACAAAATAGAAAACAAAAAGCAAAAGAGAAAAAAAAAAAAAGAAATACCTTGGTCCCTTTTTTTTGTGAGGAGAAAACACCAGGCAACTCTAATTGTCCATATTGCTAATGTCATATTGGAAATCCCCTGAATTTTTTTTCTCTGTGTGTAAATTTGTGTGAAGTGTTCGAAATTTTTTTATGCAAGATCATGCTATCCACCAAAAGGGACAATTTTACTTTTTGCTTTCCAATTTTGATGTATTTTATATCTTGTCTAATTGCTTTATATAGGATTCCTACCATTATGCTAAAAAAAAAAAAAAATGATGAGAATGAGCATTATTGCTTATTCCTTATTTTGGAGAGAAAGCCTTTACTTTTTCACCATTGAGTATAATGTTAGCTCAGAGGTTTTCAGATCTCACCTTTATTATGTCTAAGTAATTTTCTTGTACTTCTAGTTTCAGGTTTTATTATAAACTTGTTGATTATGTTCAATGTTTTTTCTATATCTATTAATTTGACCATGTAAATTGTATTCATTGTTCTGTGATATAGTATATCACATTGATTTTCTTTTGTTCAACCATTCTTACATTTCAGAGATAAATTACACTCGATTTGTGTGATGCTTTTAATATGCTGTTGAATTAGACTTTTTTGAGAATGTTTACATCTACATGCATCAGGATTTTTGGCTAGTTTTCCTTTCTTGTGATATGTTTTTATGGATTTGGTGTCTAGCCGCATAGAGTCTAGAATTGTTTGGAATTGTTTTCTTTTCTTTTCTTTCCTTTTCTTTTTATGATATCTTGTGAGAGTTTGAGAATGATTGATATGGTGCTGACTCTTCTTTAAATGTTTGGTAGAATTCACCAGTGAGTTCCTCTGATCCTGGCCATTTCATTGTTGGGAAGTTTTGATTACCAATCTAATTTTCATGCTTTTTATGGGTCCTTTTATATTTTGTTCTTCCTTAGGAGTCAACTCAGTAGATTGTATGTTTATAGAATGCTGTCAATTTCTTCTGGGTTATCCAATTTGCTAACATATAATTATTCATACTACTTTCTTAAACTTTAAAAAAAATTGTGTCATAAGTTTTAATGTCTCTGTTTGATTTCTGATTTTAATTATTTTAGTTTTTTCCATTTTCCTAGTATATCTCAGTAGAATTGTCAATTTTGTTTATCTTTTCAAAAAATGTACTCACCTTTTATTTTTATATTGTTTTTCTATTTTCTCTTTTGTTTATTTTTGTTCTAATCTTTGTTTTTTCTTCTTTTTTTTCTTGCCAACTTTGGGCTTAGCTTTTTCTTCTTTTTTTTTTTTTAACTTCCTTCAAGTAAAAATAACTGTTTGATATATTTCTATTTTTAAAAATATAGATATGTTGTTAGGAACTTCCCTCTGCTTTTGCTCCATACATTGCTTTCAGTATTTTATGGTTTTTTCTTTTCTGCTTTTGTTCATCTCAAGGTATTTTCTAATTTCCATATTGATTTTCTCTTTTACTCAATGGTTTTACAGTAATGTGTTGTTTAATTTCAACATATTTATTAATTTTCTAATTCTTATTCTATTGATTTTCAGTTTAATTCCATTGTGGTTAGAAAAGATGCTTGGCATGATTTTAATCTATTAAAATGTGTTAGATTATTTTGAGACCTAGTATGTGATCTATCTGGAGAAAGATACATGTGCACTTGAGAAGGTATATTCTGTTTATGTCGGATACGACATTCTGTATGTGTTTATTAAAACTATTTGGTTTAGAGTGTCATTCAAGTCCTGTTCTTTATTAACTTTCTGTTTGGATGTTGTATCCATTACTTATGATAAGGCATTGAAGTTTCCTGTCATTTTTGTGTTGGTGTTTATTTCTTCCTTCAATTTTAATTGCTTATGTGTTCTAGCACTGAGTATATTTTAGTATAAATATTTATAATTATTGTATCTTCTTTTGATATTGACTATTTTATCATTACAAAATACCCTTTTTCTCTTATAGCAGTTTGTTTTGTAAAAACCATTTTATTTTATATAAGTATAAAAATTCCTGCCTCCTTTTGGTTACCATTTGCATGGAATTTCTTTATCTATCTATTCATTTACAGCCTATGTATGTCCTTAAATGCAAAGTGTATTTCTTTCTTTCTTTTTTTTTTTTTGAGTTGGAGTCTCACTCTGTCACCCAGACTGGAGCAGTGGCTGCTCCTGGCCACCGCAGCCTCAACCTGCTGGGCTCCGGCGATTCTTCCGCCTCAGCCTTCCAGGTAGCTGGAACTACAGGCGCGCACTACCACACCCGGCTAATTTTTTTTTAAATTTATTGTAGAGATGAGGGCTCGCCAAATTGCCCAGGCGGGTTTCAAACACGCGGGCACAGGCAATCCACTCTCCTCAGCCTCCCAAGACGCGGGATTTCAGGCTGAGCCACCGAGCCCGGCTCAAAGTGAATTTCTTATACACTTTATAGTTGGCCCTTGTTTTGTTATCCATTTACCATTTTATGTATTTTGATTATACAAAAGCTACACATTGATATAAATATAAACTTATTTATATTTGAAACAATTATTAATAGGGAAAATTTGCTGTTGCCGACTTGGTTGTTTTCTGTTAATATTGCATTTTAGCTGTTTGTCTTTTCTAGCAGTCTTCCTTTGTATTTTAAAAATTAATTGTATTGATGTGTTCTGATTGCTTTCTTTTTCTGTGTTAAAAAAAAAGACTGTGTGTGCAATGCTTTTCATTATAAACCTCTATTTTTGGCTGATAATAATGTAACTTGTCACTTACAAAAACTGTACATTTCTATATCATCTGCCTATATTTTACTGGTTTTCAGAATTTATATCTTTTTATGTTGTGTATCTTTTAGCAACCATTCTATAGTTGTGTTAACACATTTGTCTTTAACTTTTTAAGTTGAATTAAAAGTGATTTACTCACCACCGTTATAGTAACATAATGTTTTTTATATTTCCATATATTTACCTTTACCAATGAGTCTTATGGTTTCCTTCTTTCTTTCTTTCTTTCTTTCTCTCTCTCTCTCTCTCTCTCTCTCTCTCTCTCTCTCTCTCTCTCTCTCTCTCTCTCTCTTTCTTTCTTTCTTTCTTTTTTGTTTGAGTTGGAGTCTCACTCTGTCGCTAAGACTGAAGTGCAGTAGCTGGAACTACAAGCACGCGCTACTACGCCCGGCTATTTTGACTTATTGTCGAGACCAGGTCTCGCCAAGTTGCCTGGGTGGGTCTCCAACCCGCGGGCTCAGGCAATCCACTCGCCTCGGCCTCCCAAAGTGCTGGGATTACAGGCTGAGCCACCGAGCCCGGCCTATGGTTTCTTGTCATATTGTAAATCTGTTTGTGTCTGTTTGCATCAGTATGATGAGCTACATTAATATTTCTAGTAAGGCAGATTTAGTGATAATAAATTGTAGCACCTTTTGTTTTTCTGGTTTGCCTTCATTGCCTTTATTTTGAAGAATAGTTTTGCTTTGTATTATATGCTTCTTTGGAATTTTTTTTCTTTCAGTATTTTTAAATATTTTATCCTACTTCCTTTTGGCCAGCAAAGTTTCTTCTAGGAAAAAAAAATCTGATCAGAGACTTTGGGATTTTCTTTGAATGTGACAAGTTATGCTTCTTTTGTACTTTTCAAAGTTCTTTGTTTTTGATGATATTCACAACTGGACACATTTTAATCATATTGTAAAATATCAAAAACAAAGAATATGGATATGAATTTCCTTTTGTATATTTAAGAAATACTGAGCAATTGTGTATTTAAATATGCTTTCTGACTCTTTCTCTCTTCTCCTTCTGAGTTTTCCTTAGTGTGTTATTGGCTTGCTTTATGGTGTTCCCTAAGTCCTTTAAGCTTTTTTTTTTTAAACACATTGTCACTCTTTTTCTTTTTGATTCCCCACGTCCAGTGACTGTCTTCAAGTTGATTGATCTTTTTCCTTCTTGATCTAGATTGCCTTTGAAACCCTTCTCATAAATTTTTCCATTTAGTAATTGAATTTTTAGCTCCATGATTTCTATATGGTACTTGTAATATTTCTATTCTTTTGTTAAAATATTTACTTTCTACTTGCATTGTTCGCTACCTTAGTGAGCATCTTGATAGAAGTCATTATTAACTTTGTATTAGGTTAATCATATCACTCTATTTCACAAAGGTCAATTTCTGGAGATTTATCCTGTTCTTACAATGGCATATCTTTGCTTGATTCTTTTTTTTTTTTTTTTTGAGTTGGAGTCTCACTCTGTCGCCCAGACTGGAGTGCAGTGGCTGCTCCCGGCCACCGCAGCCTTGACCTGCTGGGCTCTGGCGATCCTTCCGCCTCAGCCTTCCGAGTAGCCGGAATTACAGGCGCACGCTACCACGCCCGGTTAATTTTTTGATTTATTGTAGAGATGAGGTCTCGCCTGCCCGGGCGGTCTCGAACCCGTGGGCTCAGGCAATCCACTCACCTCAGCCTCCAAAGTGTTGGGATTACAGGCTGAGCCACCGAGCCCGGCTTGATTCTTTATTTTTGATTCTCTGTGAGTGAAATGTCTACAGTGGAAGTTAAATAAATGTTGTCAACTCTATCAAGTTAGCAATTATAAACTATACATTCAAAAAATGTGACAGAGAGAAAAGATGCAGATAAGACTATTTTTGTGTACAATTTTAAGCAACAAGTAGTTAGGGTAAAGTGCCAATCATGGCTATTTATAGGCAGAGAAGGATTTAGGGGAAGAGATTGCATATGGATAAAAGAAAATTGAATATCTGATGAACAATTTTATAGTAAAAACTAAATGTGAATGTATGATGATACCTAGAGAGTAAAGATAAAAAGCTAGGACTTTATTTACAAATCATTTATAAATGTATCTTTCTATAACTGCTTTAGGGTCACTGCTTTTATCAAGGATATGCTACAGATATTCCAAATTCACTTGTGACACTAAACATCTGTTCTGGACTCAGGTAATGGTATATATGTACATTAAGATCTTATGTTAGTCCTTAATTTTCAGAAACTCCTTGATGGGTAGAGAGAAGACAAGTACATTTTGACTTTTGGTTTTGTCTATGTTTCTTGTTATACATTTTTTTACCTCTTCCTCATGTCTTTTTTAAAAATTCTCTTTGCCTGTATCTCAACCTTGCAGTCATAAAAGTATGCAGAAAAAACTAGCATGAAGGGTATTCAAATTTCTTACCCACTTTAGAAGCTCAACTGAGATTAAACGCCTTAATAGAAAGTAGATCTGCATAAAATATGTTTGAATGTTAATCAAGGTATGAGAAGTTATTCTTATATGTTAGACTGCAAAGACAATTATCAAATTTATATAAAACTGTTTACTTAATATTGATTTACATTTTTCACTGGGGACTATATATTAATAAAATGTTTATTTCTTTTTTGTATTTGAATATTCAGGGGATTATTGCAGTTAGAGAATGTCAGTTATGGTATTGAACCATTAGAAACTTCACCTACATATGAGCATGTGATCTATCAAATAAAGAATAATACAATTGAGCCTTCCTCCTTTCAAGAAAGTTACCCTATGATCAAACACGTAGACAAGTCCTATAGGATTCTTGTCAAATCAAAAGTGAGTATTCCCATTTATGAGATCTTCATTTGCTCTATTTATGGTAAACTTATTCACAGTGAAATTTTGAAATTTCACACATATGGGAACAAATTTAAACTGATTTTAATTATATTAAAAACTTCAGTTGTAGGGTATTTATCAAAATATTTTTGTGTATTCGGATATATTTAGGAAATGTAGTAGATACAGACCTACAAACTTCTCTGCAAAGATTTTTCTGCATATGTATAGTGGGTTTTTTAAAAATTGAATTTGCAAGTTTGATCAAATTACCTTATAAATTTTTTGATAAACACGCTTTTTGTTTAAAAAGATGTTATTTTGAAAGAAAATGTAAAAAGGGACAAGATAATACACCAGAAATTGTGTGAAGCCTCATTGTTTAAAAGCAGTGCTCTTAAAAGTTTGCTATTTTAAACAGTGTGGCAATAAGCATGTATGTGCAGGTGTCTTTATAATAGAGCGATTTACGTACCTCCAGGTATATTCCCAGTAGAGTGATTGCTGGATTATATGGAAGATCAAATTTTTAGTTTTATTAGGAATTGCCACACTGTTTCCCATAGAGGTTGAACTAACTTGCATTCCCACCAACAATGTGTACACGTTCCTTGTTCTCTGCACCTGCACCAGCACCTGTTGTTTTTTGACTTATTAATGATAGACATCCTTACTGGAGTTAGGTGGTATCTTGACATAATCGTTCTAATTGTTTTAAATATCATATTATGAATGCAGATTTGTAAATCACATTTTTTAACAAAAATAATTTAGTCTTACAAAGGAAGTTTTGAAATTTTTATTTTATTTTATTTTATTTTATTTTATTTTTTGAGTTGGAGTCTCACTCAGTCGCCCAGACTGGAGTGCAGTGGCAGCTCCCGGCCACCACAGTCTCGACATGCTGGGCTCCGGCGATCCTTCCGCCTCAGCCTTCCAAGTAGCCGGAATTACAGGCACGCGCTACCATGCCCGGCTGATTTTTTTATTTATTGTAGAGATGAGGTCTTGCTGCCCAGGCGGGTCTCGAACCCGCAGGCTCAGGCAATCCACACACCTCAGCCTCCCAAAGGTGCGGGATTACAGGCTGAGTTACAAAGCCCGGTTTGAAATTTTTATATTACTAAAAGATAATGCACATTTACTTATGAAATTATGTTGGATGAATTATTGTTATTTTGCTGAAATACAATAATTGTTCATACTTATAAGCTGCAAGTGATATACTGATACTTGCACGCAATGTGTACTGATTACATCAAGGTAATTGGGATATCTACTACCTTAAACATTTATTATGTCTTTGTGTTAAGAACATTCCAAATCTTTTCTAGTCATTTTAAAATATACAATAAATTATTAGTAACTATAATCTTCTATTTTACAGGTAGATTCAGGTGTGCTATTGAAAAGAACTCTGAAAATACAAATTGTAATGGATAAATCTATGGTATGAAATATCAGTATGTTTGTTATATCTTTGTTTTTAAATTCAAAGGGATCATGAATTTAAAACTTCCATTGTTTTCAATGCAGTAATATATTTTAGACAGTTCAAAATATGTTTCTTGTTATTGCAGAAGATAAATAAATGTCGTCAATTGCCTTTACACTGATGTTAAGGGATTAATATTTATGTTTTAATTTCCAAATCAGTATAGAATTTTAGCAGAAATGTATAACTTTATATGGAAGGGTCCTACTACACGCTAATCTACTGTATTAAAGTAGCTGCAGATACATCTGGATTCACTCCAGTTCTTGATGAAACTTTTCCTTAAATCTATTTTCATTTTAAAGCAAGTTATTTTACTAATTACTCAGAGATCAGTTATTAAATATTATTTTATAAGATCATTTGATGTTTTATAATTGCTTGGCTTCTCTGAGGTTCTGCAATTAAATTGGAAAAAATCATTCATTACAGTCTTTAGAGAATTTTGATTTATGTTTATCAAAAGTATTGATAACAATGGATGTGGGTAAGGAATACTTTGCTATTAGTGCTCTTTTGTCCCATCAATTATCTGCTCATTTGTTTTTTTTTTTAATCCTCTACTTAGTGAATTATGTTTAGCATTTATTTTTATCTCCAATTTTTTTTTTTGTGCGGTACTTTTGTTTTCAGTTTTCAATCTCAGTGGTATTCTAGTGACTCCAGTTAGTATTCTTAATTTATCATGATTTAGAGTTAATCTTAACTTCATATATATGAACCTCAGGACAGTAAAATTCCATTTAAACATAATAAGCCATTGTAATTTTGTATTAAATATTTTACTTCTCTATACATTATACATTGCAAAATAGATGATTTAAATTAAATATTCAATTATTTTTAAAGAAATTAAGAAAATTAAAAAGTTTTAAATTTTTAGTGTATTTGTGTATATGTATCACAAATTTTTATTTCTTCTAATAGACGTTCATGCCTCATTTAAAATGTTTTTTTCTTTTTTTAGCCAGCGTCTAACTCTGTCACCCAGACTGGAGTGCAGTGGCACAATCACAGCCTCGACTTCCTGTGCACAAATGATCCTTCCTCCTCAGACTCCCTACTAGTTGGGAGTACAGGCATGCACACGATACCTGGCTAGTTATTTGGTGTGTGTGTGTGTGTGTGTGTGTGTGTGTGTGTGTGTGTGTGTGTGTGTAGATGAGGTCTCACCATGTTTCCTAAGCTGAGCTCAAATTCCTGAGCTCAAGCTATCCTCCCACACTGGCTTTCCAATTCACTGTGATTACAGGCGTGAGCCACTGCACCCAGTCTGATATTTCTTTTTACCTTGGTAAATTCTCTCCATATTTATTTTATCTGAAGTTGTCTTTATTTCATTTTCACTTTTTAAATATCTTATTTGGAAATAATTCCAAACTTACAAAAAAGTTGCAAGAATGCAAAGAACGCCTTTCTTCTTTTCACCTATATTTAATGTTAATATTGTTTCCCATTACCACTTGTGCTTTCTCCATCTGAATTTGCAAGTAAGTTGTAAGTTGAATCAGGAAGTTTATTCTTAAAGGCTTTAGCAGGAAGTTTATTCTTAATAGTCTAGAATAAGATTATTATCTTATTTACCAAAATAGCACTGTTAAAATAATTTTATCAAGTCCACTATAACATAGTTGCATTGTGGTCAGATACTGTGATCTATGTGATACTGTTTTTATTCAAATGGCACTGTTATGGCCTAATATTGGTTAATATGTATCAATTTGCATACAACTCTCAATGGTGCTTGAAAAAATATATATTCTCATTGTTGTATACAAGCTTCTATATGTGTATATTTTATCTAACATATCCTTGGGTGTTAAAAATCTTGTATCTCTTTACCGCTAATTTGTCTCCTTAATCTACTAGTTATTAAGAGATCTTTGTAAAATATCTCACTGACAGTCAATTTTCATTAACAATTTTTTAGAACTTGTTTTATATATTTGCAGCTCTGTAGTTACACGGCAGTTTAGAAAGTTTCCATTTTTCTGATGTACTGAATATTTTATCAATATATTGTGATAATATGTCTATTCTTTTGTTTTTAAAACTGTTATTATCAATGTAACTATTATATTAATTAGTTTTTTGTTCCTCTGGAATTATAAATGTTATACTTACACTATAATGTTGTCTATTAGAAGTGCAATACCATTATGTCTAAAACACAATGTACACACCTTGTTTTAAAGTATGTTATTGCTTAAAAATGTTAAAGATTATCTGAGCCATTACTGAGTTGTAATCTTTGCTAGTAGAGCATCTTGGCTCAGTGTTAATGGCTGCTGACTAATCAGGTTGATTGTTGTTGAAGTTTGAGATGGCTGTGGCAATTATTAAAATAAGACATCAATGGAGTTTTTTGTAAAAATTGACTCTTCCTTGCATGAAAAGTTTCTCTGGAGCATGTGATGCTTTTTAACAAAATTTTACATACCTTAGAGCTTATTTCAAAATTGTAGTCAATCCTCTTAACTTGCCACTGCTTTATGCACTAGGTTTATGTAATATTCTAAACACTTTTTATATCAACAATATTCACAGCATCTTCATCAGATATATTTCATCTCAAGAAATTATTTTCTTTGTTCATTCAGAAGAAACTCGTCTGTTCAAATTTTATCATGACATTGTCACAGTTCTCCACTTCTAATTCTGGCTCTCATGCTACTTCTGACATATCTTCAATTACTTCCTCCACTGATGTCTTGAAGTCCTCAATGTCATCCATGAGGCATGAAATTAACTTCTTCCAAACTCTTGTTAATATTGATATTTTGATCCCCTCCCATGAATCACAAATGTTCTTAATGACATTTAAAACAGTAAATTTTTTTGAGTTGTTGTCAGTTTTCTTTACCCAAATCCATTAGAATAATCACTACCCATGCAGCTATAACCTTATCAAATGTATTTCTTAAATAATAAGAATTTAAAGCCAAAATTACTCCTTGATCCATGGGCTAGGCTCTGAGCAAAGCATTGCTTTTTTATTCTGAGCAGTGGGCTTAAATATTCAGTAAAACCTGCTTTTAGAGAATTAGCTGTCATTCTGCTTTGTTGTTATTTCTAGAGCACAGGGAGAGTAGATTTAGCATAATCCTTAAGAGTCTCTGAATTTTCAAATTATAAGTGAGCACCGGCTTCAACTTAAAGTCACCAGCTACGTTAATGCCTAACAAGAAAGCCAGTCTATTTTTGAAGGTTTGAAGTTAGGCATTGACTTCTCTCTAGCTATGAAAGTCCTAGATGGCATCTTCTTCCAAAGAAGTCTGTGTCATCTACAATGAAAACCTTTTGCTTAGTGTAGCCAACTCCATCAATGATCTTAGCTAGATCTTCTGGATGACTTGCTGCTGCATTTACATCAGCACTTGCACTTGCACTTCTATGTTATAAATATGGCTTCTTTCCTTAAATCTCATGAACCAACCTCTGCTAGCTTCACACTTTTCTTCCACTACTTTTTCAGCTCTCTCAGTCTTCATAGCATTGAAGACATTTAGGGCTTGCTATGGATTAGACTTTGACTTAAGGGATGTTATGGCTGGCTGGTTTAATCTTTTGTCCAGATCACTGTAACTTTCTCCAAATCAGCAATAAGACTGTTGCATTTTGAAAAAAATCATTCATATGTCCACTGGAGCAGCTCTTCAAGAGATTTTCCTTTGTACTCACAACTTGGCTAACTGTTTGGCACAAGAGGTCTAACTTTTGGCCTAGCTCAGTTTTTGATTTAATATGAGTTGTGCAACTCTTCCTTTCAATTTGAACACTTAGAGGCCATTATAGGGTTATTAATTGGCCTAACTTCTCTATTGTTGTGTCTCAGATAATAGAAAACCTGAATGAGAGGTAGAGAGATGGGCAATGACCAATCAGTGGAGCAGTAAGAGAGCATGTGTACCATTTATAGATTAAGTTTTCCATCTTATGTGGGTATGATTCAAGGCAACTGAAAAAAATTACAAGATTGATTACAAAGAACTCTGACAGCAGATCACCAGAACAAGCATAATAATAGTAATTTTAAAAACTTAAGATATTACTTGATTTACCAAATGTTACACAGAGACACGAAGTGAGCACATAGTGTTGGAAAAAATAGTGCCAAAAAGCTCCCTTGATGCAGGATTACCACTAAATTTCAATCTTTAAAAAAGTGCAATGTCTGTGAAGTGTGATAAAGTGAAGCACACTAAAATGAGACTTTCCCGTATAGTCACGTGATTTTATTTGAATGAGGACAATGAATGGAAGTATACTAGAGTAGAAAAAGTAGACTTAATTGTTTAGTGAGTTAGGAATATGAGTCCTGATTCTTACCCTTATTGGCTACACACTCTTGGTACCTTAATATTTTGACTCTTAACTTCTATATCTATGAAGAGAAATATAATCACAGCTACCTAATTTTAATATTATTGATTCGTTTATAAATTATCAAGGCTTGTGTCTAAAATTTCATAACTATGTGATATATTTTAATTCCACTTTGGTCCCTACAATTGAGCACTGCATTATTTTAACTTTTATCCTTTAATCCACTAATAATATGGTAGTTCAGTTATCTTCACTAGTGATTAAAAAACAAAATTTGTCTTTCAGTATGATTATATGGGTTCTGAGGTAGCAGTTGCAGTTGAGAAAGTTGCCCAAATCGTTGGTCTTATTAACACTGTAAGTATCTATGTTTTACAATTTAGTGAGTAACATAGCTATTAATACAGTAATGTAGTTTGTATAAGTAACAGTTAATTTTTATTAAAAATTTTACCCAACCAACCAGTTTTAGCCACCAACAGTTTTATCTCCAAAAATAGTAAATTAAGTATATTAGCATTAGATATATAGATATAATGTTATATTAATGGTTACCCAAAATTGTAAACCATGTATCTTTTGTTTTCAGATGTTTTCCCAGCTTAAAATGAATATTATGCTATCTTCCTTGGAACTCTGGTCAGATCAAAATAAGATTTCAACAAGTGGTGATGCTAATCAAGTGCTGCAAAGCTTTTTGTCTTGGAAACAAAAAGTTTTGTTTGAAAGGTCTCATGATATGGCATTCTTATTAATGTAAGCACTTTATTCACATTGATAACAGTTTTATCCGATTATTTGGTATCTTAACTGTTAAAATTACTCACAAATTGCATATGAGAGTAATCTTTAAAAAGACTATCTGAAGACTGTGTTATCAAACAGCAAAGTATGAAATTCTGACAATCATATAAGAAGCTAATAAAATGATAGTAGCCCATTAGTCTCAGAGTAGACTGTTTGCTTATGGAAATGTAGTGAGCTGAGAAATGGAAGACCTGAGGTAAACATGGGACATCTATGGTTGTAAAGATCTTCTCAGCTACAAATAAGTGAAACATTAAGTACATATATAACTGAAATGGACTGCTTTAGTCTCCCTGTAGTTACTTTCTGGTATTTCTATGCAGACCTAAAATGTATCTATTTATCAGCTTGCTTGGTATCTTTCAAAAATCTTTTTGCAGATTTTTACTTTTATTATTTCACATGCAAAAAAAAGCCACAATCTTAAGGAGCTTAAGCAATATGGAGCATATTTGTTAAGTTACTGAGATCGAAAGGGTTTCTGGGATTCTGGAGCAACATTAAAGATCAGATTAAAATGTGTGAGGATATTTTATATGCCCTATCTCTCTTTGTCTTGTGACTCTCATGCATATTTTCTTTTTTTTTCCCTTTCCCTCTCTTCCAATCCAACATTTTTTCCTCACACTTAGGGTTGATTCACTATGTACAAATCATGGCAGTAAATAATTCTGAATTTCATATTATATCTTAGAATTATATTCCTTCAGTGGTAACAACAGTGATGATTGTTTTTTAAAGATGGAGCACTTCATGAATTTGCATATCAAATTAACTTTTGGAAAGGAAAAGGCATGGTTAGGTTTTGGGTTGTGTATCATATAATGTTAAACAGCTTTTAGAATTTAACTTTACATGATTACACAAATCATAAATAATTGAAAGCATAAGATAGTATATGTGATATTCATGTTTAGGAGTAAGCATAGCTTTATATAGAAATCCAATTCACAAAATGTCATTAAGTTACTATTGTTTAAAAATACATGTATTCACAAGAAAAATTTTATTATTTAGTCATAGGAACAATCCTACTTATGTGGGAGCAACATATCAAGGAATGGCATGCGATCTGAAGTTTGCAGCAGGCATTGCTCTGGTATGCATTTTTTCCCAATTCTTCAGTAATAATATCAAGTTTTGAAAGTTATTATCTATTTCAATGAACAGAAGAACATATATTTCTCTTACTGTTTTGACATATCTTTGAAAAAATACCTTTTTTAGATTTAGGAGCTCAAATATTATAATTTTTAAGGGGGTTTCTTATTGTGAGAGAAAACACATAACAAAATGTACAACCTTCACCATTTTCAAGTGTACAGTTCAATATTGTTATGTATGTCCTCGTTGTTGTGAAACAGATCTCTGGAATTTTTTATCATGCAAAATTAAAATTCTGTTCCCATTAAACCACTCCTCTTTTCTCCTGTTAAACACCATTCAACTTTTTGTTTCCATCAGTTTGACAGCTTTAGTTTTCTCATAAAAATGGGATCAAACAGTATTTGCCTTCCTAAATTGGCTTATTTCACTTAACATAATGCCCTCAGGATCCATATTGTAGCATGTGATGGAATTTCCTTCTTTTTTATGGCTGAAAACATTTCATTGTTAGTACATACCACATAATCTTTATTCATTCATCTGACAATGGATGTTTTAGTTATTTCTGTTTCTTGGTTATTATATATAATGCAGCAATAAACATGGAGATACTTATGTCTTTTTGAGAGTCTGATTTCGCTTATTTTAGATGGATACTGTCTTCTGTATATAAACCAGTTTTTGTGCTTATAAAAAACTACTTAAAAATCGGTAATTTTTGAAGGAAAAAAAATTATGAAGGATGAGAAAGCCAAGGCTAAGAGCCGCTTATGGTGAGGGCTTTGCTGCTGACGAGGACTTTCTTCAAGGCAGTGCAGGGCATCATATGGTGATGTGTTCTAGCTCAGGTCTCTCTGCCTCTTTGTATAAAGCTGCCAGTCCCATTTTCATGATAACCCATTAACCACGAACATATTAATATTTTCATGAAGGCTTAGCTCTCATGACCAATCACCTTTTAAAGGCTCCATCTCACAACACTGCCACACCAAGGATTAAGTTTAAACATGAATTTCAAAGAAGACAAATATTCAAGACATAGCATTTCATCTCTGGCCTCCCCAAAACTCATGCCCCTCTCACATACAAATAGATTTATTTAATCCCCATAGCACCAACATTTTAACTCATTCCAGCACCAACTCAAAGGCTCCAAGTTTCATTTTATAAATCAAAACAAGTGATCTACTTCCAAGATGCAATGGTAGGATAGGCCTAGGGTACATATTCCCACTTCAAAAGGAAGAATTAGGCCAGCAGGAGACTCCAAGCAAGACTGAAACCCAGCAAGGCAGACATTGAATCTTAAATCTAAAGAATAATTGTTTTTGACTTGATGCCCAGCATCCTGTGCACTCAGATATGGGAATTGGGCCCCAAGGTTCTTGGCAGCCACACTCTCAGGGCTTTCCTGGGGTCAGGCCATACCTCAGCTCTACCAGTCTGGCATTGCACACTGGTAGCTATATAGTCCTGGAGTCTTGGTAGTAGTTCTGCTTCTATGGTTCCATTAGGCATTGCCCTTATGGGAAATCTCTGCAATAGGTTTGATTTCCTATTTCCACTCAGCATTGCCCTGGTAGGACTCTGGAGTTGCTCCATTCTTTTAACAAGTCTCTGCCTGGACCCACGAACTGTTCAGAATCTCGGTTCAAATCTAGATGGAAGCTGTCATGCTTCCGTATCTCTTGCATTCTGTGAGTCGGCAAAATTAACAACACATGGAAACCTCCAAGGTTTATGGCTTGTACATTTCAGAGCAATTCATCATGCCATACCCGGAGTTGTTTGAGCAACCGCTAGTATAGCCCGGAAGCACTACAATGGAGATCAGGGTCCTGAGGTGGCCCTGGGAAGTGAGTCTGTGGAGAGTACCTCAGGCCTGTCATCTAAAATCATTCTGCTCTTAAAGTCCTCTTGACCTGTTATGGGAGGGGTGGCCTTGAAGATATCTGAACTGCCTTCAGATGTTTATTTCACTGTCTTGAGGAACAGCACCTAGCTCCTTTGTATCAGTGCTGATCCCTTTGGCAAATGATCACTGACTGACACCCTTGGTTTTCTGTGTATAATACATTTTTAAAATTCTTTAAATGGCCAGGATGAGAGGTTTCAAAATCTTTCTTTTCTTTTTTTTTTTTTTTGAGTTGGAGTCTCTCTCTGTCGCCCAGACTGGAGTGCAGTGGCTGCTTCCGGCCACCGCAGCCTCGACCTGCTGGGCTCCGGCGATCCTTCCGCCTCAGCCTTCCGAGTAGCCGGAATTACAGGCGCGTGCTACCACACCCGGCGAATGTTTTTTTTATTTATTGTAGAGATAAGGTCTCGCCTGCACAGGCAGGTCTCAAACCCGGGGGCTCAGGCAATCTACTCACCTCAGCCTCCCAAAGCTGGGATTACAGGCTGAGCCACCGAACCGGCTTCCAAATCTTTCTACTTTGCTTCTCGTTCATTATAAATCCTGTCTTCCAGTCATATTTTCCCTCTGACAGCTTCATGCTATGGAGCAACCTATATCCGTCACTGCTTGGATATCTCTTTTACTGTCAAGTTTAGTCTTCCACAAAGACCTTAGAAATGGACACAGTTCAGCCAAGTTTTTGCAAATATATATCACAGATGGTCTTACAAGCAGTTCTAATACTTTGTTAGTAAGTTATAACTTTGACCTCCTCAGAATGGCCTTTACTTTCCATGTTTTCCTCAGCACTCTGGTCATGACTACTTAACCATTCTCTAAAGAGTTAAACTCTTTCCTAGTCTTCTTGTCTCCTAAGTCCTCAAAATAGTCTAGGCTCCTCCTATACTGTTCCTCCAACCTCTTTCAGCACTACCCATTAGCCATTAAAAAAATCACTTCCACAGTTTCAAGTCTTCGTTTTTAACAGAAATCCCACTGCTGACACCAATTTTTCTAGGTTTGTTTTTTTTTCTTATAATAGAATTATCTGCTATTGGACAATTTATTTAAAAAAAAAAAATTAGTTCCTCACAGTTATGGAGGCTGAGAAGCCTGAAGGCAAGAAAGCACAACTGGCGAGGGCCTTTTTGCTGATAGACCCTGAATTAATGGGTTAACTGATAAATGGATTGTCATAGGAATGGTACTGGTTTCCACACAAGAAGAGGAAGAGAGACCTGAGCTAGAGAGCACTCATATTAAGCCTGTATAATATATATAAATAGCGAATATTTTCTCCTATCCATAGGTTGCCTTTACACTCTCTTGATTGTGTAATTTGAAGCAGAAAAGTTTTTAAATATGATATAGTCCCATTTATCTAGTATTTCTTTTGTTCCCTGTGCTTTTGAAATTATTCCCAAGAATCTTGATCAAATTAATGTCATAAACACTATGCCCTATATTTTTTTCTAGAAGCTTTACATAATGGGTCTTTTGTTTAGATTCTTAATTTATTTTGAGTTTTTTGTTTGTGGTGTCATATGTGAGAAATGAGCTCACCCATTCTAAAACAAAGAATGGACACAGAGATGTGGAGTGCAACAGAAGCGAGACTTCAATGACGGTTTTGCAAGGTCAGGAGTCTGGTGAGCAGGCAAACCCAAGGTGATTACAACAAGCTTTTTATTTCCTAGTGTGCAACCTCCTCCCCTGGTTTCTCATTGACTGAGAAATGCAATTTTTCCTGGACATTACCTTGGCAGTTTTTGGTTCAAATAAGGTTAAAATAAGTTCTTGCTATTTGATTGGAGGGTTTTAGCTTATTTATTTATTTATTTATTTTGCTTTATTATTTTTTTATTTTATTTTAAGGATGTGGGACACAATTCAGGGTTAGATATACGAATGTTCATTGTACAGGTACCCTTGCTGATGAGGTGTGCCCGCCTCCACTGGCAGTTTCCCACTACTGCCAATCCCACCCCATCCCAAGCCAGTTTCCCACTACTGTCAATCCCCTTCTTAATTTTTTTTTTTTTTTTGAGTTGGAGTCTCAGTCTGTCACTCAGACTGGAGTGCAGTGGCTGCTCCCAGCCACCGCAACCTCGACCTACTGGGCTCCGGCAATCCTTCCACCTCAGCCTTCCAAGTAGCTGGAACTACAGGCGCGTGCTACCACGTCCGGCTAATTTTTGATTTATTGTAGAGATGAGATCTCGTCAAGTTGCCCAGGTGGGTCTCGAACCCGCGGGCTCAGGCAATTCACTCACCTCAGCCTCCCAAAATGCTGGGATTGCCAGTTCCCTTCTTATAGTATTATAATTGTTCGAGGTCCACTTATAAGTAAGAACATGTAGTACTCAGTTCTTTGTTTCTGTGATAGATCACTCAGTATCATAGGGTTTATCTATCCAGTTGCTACTAAGTTCATAATTTTGTCCTTTTGTATGTCTACATAATATCCCATTGTGTTTGTGGACCACGTTTTTTTTATTCAGTCCTCTTTTGATAGGCAGCATGGTTGGTTCCATGTTTTTGCTATTGTGAATAATGCTGCAATAAACATACATGTGCAGGGATCTTTTTATAGAGAGATCTGAGTTCCTCCAGATACATTCCCTGTAGGAAGATTGCAGGATCATATGGAATGTTGATTTTTAGATCTTTTAGGAATCACCACATTGTTTTCCACAGAGGTTGTACTAGTTTGCACTCCCACCAACGGTTTAAAAGTGTTCCCTTTTTCCCATATCCTTTCCAGCATCTGTTGTTTTTTGAGTTATTGAGGATGGCCATCCTTACTGAAGTTAGGTGGTATCTCACTATGGTTTTTATTTGCATTGTGTGATGATTAGTGAGGCTGAGCATTTTTTCATGTATCTGTTGGCTGCTCATATGTCTTCTTTTGAGAAGTGTCTTTTTATATCTTTCGCTCACTTTGTAATGGGGTTGTTTTCTTCTTTTTGGCACGTTTGAGTTCCTTGTAGATTCTGGGTGTTAGGCCTTTGTCAGATATACAGTTGGCAATTTTTTTTTCCTAGTTTGTGGGCTGTCTCCCCACTTTCTTGATGGTTTCCTTGGCTTTGTAGAAG